TCCTGGCCTTACTACTAGGAGCAGGGACGCTACTAGGGGCTCCTGGCATCGCTACTAGGAGCAGGGACGCTACTAGGGGCTCCTGGCATCGCTACTAGTAGTTAGTTACTAGTAGTGATGCACTTGTTACTAGTGGCAACGAGTTTTGTGGTCGATGTGTTGCGACTTTCTTGAACTCTGGGATGCCTCACAAGAACACCAGGATTGTGGCTGTTGAACAGTGGACTGTCTGTTTGTATTCATTCCCTTCTCGCTAGGCATATCTGTGGAAAGGTAGTGGTAAACCAAAAAGCCACTGAAGCCACCAGTGGGAGTGGACCAACACATCACCAACAACTGGACACTTTCAAGAGTGGTCCTCAGCACTCAGGTGCAAGCGACCAAGCTGGAAGTGACGGCTGCCCACCAGAGGAGGGACACTGTGAAACCAATGGGCCTCCTACTGTTGATGGACGAAATCCAGCAACACATGCGGTCCTCCAATAGTGCAGACCCCCCGTGCCCCCCAACTCAATGTTGTCTCATGTTAGTTGTGTGCGACACAGGATTTGGGTCATTCAACTTTTTCATGTTTGACACATTTCCTACACTCAATGTCAAAGAGGGAGCGCGAGGGTATACATGGGTTGTTCTTCCAGTGGTGCAGGATTTTGTCCATCAACTGTAAGGGGTGCTCGTAGTTTGTGCATGCGCATTTCCACAGGTGTTATGGATACAGTCAATGTATGAACCGATGCAGCTTCTGAATGTCATGTGTGTAGTGCACAGGATGTGGAAGTTGTTGTGGAGCAGTGGTGTCCTTTATGAACATTTTAAGGATCCCATACTAAACTCATCGAAACACTAAACCTTCAATATTTAATGACTTGGAAGATGTTTGATTTTGGAAGACTGTAAAGCCATCATCTTTGCAAGCCTGGTTGCTAGCAGAAGAATATGCAAGCTCAAATGCAGCACTCGTGTTTTCTTCTTTTTATTTTCGGGCTGCGCTCTTTAATGCAATGGCACCCTGGTGAACACAAATTTGGTGCAGCGGCAAAAATGAACACGCATGCTTCAACCAAGACTTGCAATGAATTTGCATTTGTCCAACTAATGTGCGCAGATTTGAAGGAATTCTGTTCCAAGAAAGACACCTGCTTGCCACCAACCATGTGTGCGGTCCTCCGAGTCGGGTGTGCAGTCAAGTTGAATGCACAAACAGGCAGGAAGGTGCTGAAGGTGCTTTGTTTTGAGGCAGGTGTTCCTTGATAAAGATTATCACATTAAAGCATGCAGAGAGAATGTTCCCAGATTTGGCTCCAAAGTCTGGTTTTGGCAAGTTTTCAAAAAATCAAAAACCGTGAGGTTTCCAAGAGCAAAAAGCTGGACGACTGTTTGTGTATTTGGCTTTGTCAAGTTGTGGCCCCATAGTCTCGGCAATTTCTTTATTACCTGGAAGGCAGGTGCCTCAATAAGGGGTAGATGCTTATTTATAGCAAAAGTCTCCATCCTCCAACATCCTTCCACTTCCGTCAGTTTGTCAATGACATGTTGCAAGTCAACCGACTGCGCCGTCCATGTTCACCTTACTTACTGCCTCTCGGACTGGAAGTGGTTCCTTGTGTGCCCTTGTTAGTTCGGGTTGGATCTTGGCCTGGATGGACTGGAGGTGAAAACGCTGGGACCCGCCCAACTCATAAGATCAGGTCTGACGATCTTTCCCTTCAAAAAGAACGACAAACCTTTGCCGTACCATTTCGTCACCTCCGACGGATGCGCACATCCAGACGGTAGCGGCTGCCTGTAGTGTCAATGAGATATTCATTAGCTTTTGAGACATCATGGCAGCATCAATTCATGCGTTGTCTCTTAGGCCATCGCTATGAGGTACCATCCCCGCTGAAAAGCACAGGGGTGCGTAGATCGCGACCGCACATGCAAGGTTGGTGCTCAAAACTGCTAGGAAACGGACACCTGTTGGGACTACGGTCCTAGCATGACCTGCACGACACCAGTGGAATAAACTTCTCATGGAAAACATGCCATGCAGCGTATGCCATGTGATATAAGAAGGAACCTAGTATGCAAGACGCACAAGAAGCAAATGCCCGGGCTTGCCAATCACGCGCATTGACATCATCAATCAAGTCGACATCCATCAAGACTGTAGAGGCCTGAAAGCTTAGATTTCACGACCGCCACCACTGGCAACTCATGTAGCAAAACCCTTGGTTCCTATGATTAGATATGATTTGCAGAGTAGGGGCCTTTGAGTGCTACACAGTGAGAGAACTGATTGAAACCAGGAGGAGGAACCACAGGATGTGGAAGCGATTCCTCAAAAGGCGGCTTGAAACTCAGCGGAGGTTGACAAGCCTCAGACAAGCACATTTCAAGACTACAGGCAAGTGCTCTTGTCAGTACTAGTCGTAGTATATAGTCGTCGTCGTGGTGCTGTTTTCTGGCCAGATGCAAAAACCGTATATCATTCGGCCCCATCCTTTCATTTGCCTTTTGTAGGGTCATCCTTGTTCATGCTACCATGCTACTAGGAGCAAGACGCTACTAGGGGCTCCTGGCCGTACTGCTAGTAACAAGAAGCTACTAGGGGCTCCTGGTATCGCTACTAGGAGCAAGGACGCTACGAACGGGGCTCCTGGCCATGCTGCAAAGATATTGTTCGATCAGGCCCAGGCAGAACCACAAATAATCGCAGCCCAGACCTCAGCTTTGAGCGAACTCTGTTTGGGTAGCGGCGTTCGTTCTTCCCCACCCGCGGGACTGATGTAAGATTTTAGAGCAGACAACCCACTCTATCATGGCCTGCTGCTGCAGGGCATCACTCAAGGTGCCCAACTCGTTAACTAGTTCAATGACAAATGCGGCAACAGCCGGCAGTCAAGGATACAAGCAACAGACACACAATGAGAACACCAAACATAACATGCCGCGCACAATGACAACATGACAAAAAGCAAACAATACACACATACGCAATGACAACGCCCAACAAAACAAAGAAATAGACTGTGACCCCCAACAGCATACAACACCTCACAAGACACAATGACAAACAAAACGACAGACAACGGACACACAGAGTGGCTCGAAATCAATTACAGCAGAGTGGCTCAAGAACACCTGGTCGGGTGGGGATAGCTCGACGTACAACCACCCTATACATCCTTGGACCCTTCGCCGGTTTGCGTTTGACCATGGCCACAGTCGCCGCCTTCACTGAGTCTGAGAAGTCCGAGATGAGCAGCTCCCTCAGCGAGTCTGAGATCAGCAGCTCCGAATCTGAAGCAGAGATTCCGGACAAGATCTCTGCGAAGTCGGTGGCAGGAGATGGTGGGCGGTTGCCTCTCCAATGGACTATCATTGTGGGTCCCTTTTGTTTTAAATGATATGATGCACTATATATTGCTTGTTGGATTTTCTTAGTTTAGTTTGTTTTCTGTGCCCTACACTGCCCGTGTTTGGTGGGGTGGGGTGGGAGGACATGTCCTTTGTCTCAGCGTGGTTTTTTCTTTTGGAAGATATTGATGTTTGCTTTGTGGTATACGGTTTCCCTGGTTGACCAAAAGTACGATAAGTACCACCTTGCGCCCTCATAGGGGCGGGAGATGGCGTTTTGATGTAGGCTGCAGTTCTTCTTGTCAGCTGAACAAATGCGGCTTCTTATCTTCGCCTTGTCAGTCAGGGGTTGAGATACGAATTGCAAAATGACCCCGCAGAAGCAAACTTTCGCCCTGTGGCCCTGTACCCCCGTTGAATCTTCATTGTTTTTCTATTCTATTAACTGTGTTTAGACTTTTTTTGGCAATGGCCTCCAACCTCCTACCGATGGACCTACTGTTTAGACCTTTAATTCTGGGTTTTCTGTAGACCTTTCACACCTGTCAGACGTTCTTTTTTATTTTGTGAATTAATCCCTTTCTGAATCGCACCAGCGATTGAACCAGGAGTCCGACTCTCCCCGTCGATCTCCCCAGCACGGCTTCGCCAGGTGACGAATTGAGGATTTTTGTGTTTTTTTTGCGCATGGGGAGCGAAATCGCTAGTAGGAGCAAGGATGCTACTAGGGGGCTCCTGGCCTTACTACTAGGAGCAAGAACGCTACTAGTAACAAAGGGCATCGCTACTAGGAGCAAGGACGCTATTAGGTTGGAGGCCATTGCTATCCATTGCTTCTAGGTAGGAGGGCAGAGCAAACCGGGTAATCGTTTTCCACACGCTCAGTGTATCGTAATCATCTAGTTTGCCAAGGTTTTCCACACGCAAGTTTCTCTTTTGGCTTTGTTTTTCGAGCGTCAGGTGATGGCAGGCAAAAGAAACGTCGCCGGGCCCTGACAAATTCTTTGTGAACAGACAAATGCCTAGACACCAGAGCCGCTATGAGGACATGGCCACTTTGGATCGCTATCATCAGGCCCTGGCATGAGCATGGCCATTTTGGCACTGCTATTGGAGGCCATTGCTAGTAGGTTGGAGGCTTTCGATCAGGTGTTCTGCAGCTGAAACTGCGCGCTGACCATCGAGAAAAGGATCGTATCATGAGGGATTCACATGTTTGAGCGTCAGAAGCGCACTTTCACCGGCCCATTGTGTTTTATCGTGTTTGCCTTTCGCAGTTTTTGAGAACATACGAAGGCCGAACATCATGCAAATCATTCTCTCTTGACTTCTCTTCCAGTTCTGGTTCGACGCCCAGTTTGGAGACCAGTGACGGCTAGAAACGAGTCCAGTGGTGGAGTCGTTTTCCGGCATGTGTAACACCACGTGAAACACAGTTTCAACACTCATAGGGATTGTCAGAAGGTCGAAATGAACTAATGTTTTCGTTTACCTTGGGGCAGGCTTGACTGGCAATGTACATGTTGCAAAATGACAGACTTTTTTTGATGCGCCATGGAGACTGTCAACGCTGCTGATGGCCTCAAATATTGGCGATGTTTGGACTGCTCTGGGATTGGTGTGGGAATCTGTCAAACTTCATGCTGACAGAACCGCGCTCCGTTATCTCACAGTGGAGCGAACCTTAGGATGCCTGACCTACCGACAGGCGTGGTGTTCCCTTGACGTTGTTTGGTTTATGCTTTCCACAAAGTGTTTGCAGTTGCACTCGTGAAGCTAAGGTCGAGCTGCCTGGGTCAAATTCGATACCCATTTGTGCAAGTATCATGATTGTTTCAAAGTCTTTGCGTTGCACACTTGTTTGTCGACATTGATGCTGTTGCTTCCTTGAATTCAGGGTTTTCAATAATACGCATTGGACATCCCTAGAGATCAACCCCTTCCCCGTGTTTGGGTCACTCAGTCTGGCGGTTTCCAAGGCAACTGTGACCTCAACGGTCGCTATTGCCCACCCCACGCAACTAGTCCTGCCCACATGGCCTCCAACCTAGAAGAGCTGGCCTCCAATGTAGCTGCACAATTCTTTTCTTGAAGGCCCATGGATCTTTTGCCAGTATCCATGCAGCACAGGCCCTCACGCACTCATGTTCTCAAGCTGGATGGAGACAAGTCCGTGGCCCCACCAGCTATGTGGGGCGATACTTGCTTTCTCGGGGTGTAGGATCGCGTCGTAGCGCGTCGTCACGCGACAGGTCTGGCAGCTGTCGGGCTTGGTGGCCCAGCGCTGTGGTGGCTCGGTGTTGGCCGTGGCGATCGATGATGGGCCCTACTTGGCCTTGGCGGAGCTGGCAGGTTGGCGCAGGAGCAACGAGACCGGTGGGGTTTGGGGGGGGGTTGTGAGTAGTAATACCTGTGCACCAGTGGTTCAGGAAGGCAGTGCTCAGGTTCTGAAAGCCATTTAGCGGAGCGGTAAGATTGAACAGGGTGCAATTGCAGGGCAAAGCCTATCACAACAATGCGCAGGCTTGATAGCAATGCATGTAGGTGAAAGTCTGTGCCCAAAGAGTAGTTTTGGGGGGCTCAGGCCCTAGGGCTCAAGAGGCCATTTTGAAGAACTTGTGATCTGAAACCCGGTGAACATGGTTTGACCAAACCTTTGCGAATCTCATTTTCTCGGTAGAGATGTCGATTCGCCACGGGGCATCGTGAGATCGCCCAGGCTTCGTGCGGAAACGCAGTCACAACCGTTTCGTTGACTTTGCGCCCTTTCAAAAGTGGTCCTCGTGGCCGCTAGCGGCTGTTCTTTCTTGCGCCGTCCAACTTTTAGGTTTGGGGTTTTAGAACACCCACATTCTGCAACCTTCGAGGCACCCTTTTTCTGATCTCACGACAAGCGAAAGAACAGCATGCCTCCCGCCAGTGACCCCTCAACAAGATACGTACCGAACGTACCGTACCCTTGTTGCAAAAGAAAAGCCATTCCACCGATTTTTTTTTGGGGCATTGGGGGTTTAGTTTAGTTTAGTAATAGGAGGGAGCTACCCATGTGGCCCTCGAAACCTCTCCCCACAGATTCTCACATTCTGTCCAACGCCCAAGTTAATTGATGATATTGGAATGCAACCCACGGCAGTCTCAGCTTGAAGAATGTATTCCCCAACAGGAGTACATGTTGCATTGTGTCCAGGTTATCTCATAACGTGTCCCATTCATTTGATCACCCAATCCCCCCATGATGATCCCAACACCAGGAGCATGATCCTGGTGCCGTTGGACCCGCACGATCCGCCCGCACGGCTGCATCATGTGATGTCTGAAGCAAAGGCTTCGTGCTGTGTGACCAAAGACTGGGGTGATGCGAAGACACTGGGACCAGAGCCGTTGTGCACGTAGGCAGTCCTGTGGAGATTGGTGGGTCGTTGAATGGCATTTTTTGCTGATCTTAAATGGAGGTCAGACCTTATTGAAACTTGTAACGGTGTGACTGAAAGAAGTTGAAAAGGCAGTTTGATGTCATGTTTGCTTCAATGCTTGTGACCTTGAGGAAGCTACTGGAGGCCGCTGAGGCACTACCAGTGGAAGTCATTGACCTGAGCCTTGCAGTGCCACTATCAATGGAGCTCCCATTGCATGTGGCTTTAGAGGCGCCAGAGTGGTTGCAGCCTGAGTCAGTGGCATATATGTTGCCTGGATGAACCAAGATCTGGAAAACAATGTTGGGGAATATGTTGCACGATGTTGCACGTGTTTATCCTGGCAGCTGGCTGCATGGACACAAACTTGTCTAGGATGAGGTGTGCCTTGTGCAGACGAGCGAGAAGGCACATAAAGACCGGAAGCAGAAGCCAAGTTATAATGGACCCCCGAACACATCATCATTGGCAATCCAGCAAATCGAAGACTGGAGCAGGGAGCAGGGGAGCGAGCCAGTGCTTGGATTTGTCTCGAGGTGGTTTACCAGCGGTTCCACGGGCCAGCCAAAGGGGGTCCTCATATCTCATCGAGCTTTCTCGAACTGGCACTCTGGCCGCATGAAGGGAAAGGTGGCCATGGGGTCTTTGAAATCCTGATGCTTGAGATGGGATACCACATGATAACGATACCGCCTTGCTGCTTATGGAGGAACATCGACATTTGCTAGGATTTGACAGCTGAGCACATTACATTGTAGTTGTCCAGTGGGAGTTATAGCCCTCCACGCCCCCAAATGAGCTCCTCACATCCTTGTTCTTGACGTAACGCACGCATGCACATTTCCTTCCACGAAGTTACGTTGAGGCGTTATGCACTTTGCCAATTAGTTCTTTGAGACATGATCCATTTCGATTGAGGTGCAAAGTCAAGAACCCTCCTCAGGGCATCTCGAGGGAGAGTGTGGTACTCATTGCATCAGCCTCTACATTTGACCCGTCAATTGGACCCTTTGCTGCAGCTTGAGGGAAGATGAGGAGGTTCACAAGCGTTTGTCGTGGCAGTTTTGCTTTGCACAGTGCTAGCGTTTAGCGACGGATGCGGTTGGGCTACAGGTTTAATTGATTTGAAAGCCGGTGTTGAATAGCAGGCTCTATGGGTTGACCGAAGCCTGTTGGGTCTTCAGTCTATCAAGCAAAGGCTGACCGTAATGTTGTCATGCTTCAAGAAGATCATTCCCCTTGATGCACCCTCATCCTGATTGTCGTCCTCGTCCCTCACAAGTACTTGCAATCCCTCCATTTTGCCCACATCCTTCACCTTTTTTCATTTGCTCAAACCGTTCAGAGAGCTTTTCGTTTCTCGACACGAAGCTGCTAGCAAAGACGCCACTAAGTAGCTCCTGGCATTACTACTAGGAACAAGAAGCTATTAGGGTCGAGGCCATCGCAAGAAGGTTGGAGGCCATTGCTACTTGCTACAGTAACAAGAAGCTGCTAGTAGCTCACAAAAAAAGTCCGCATTTTGTCCTCTCCTCCACTGGTCCATCCTCTTCAGCTTCGGGTTCATCCGCCGGCCTGAAACCACAACTTGGTAGATATTAGATGATAACAGTGAAACACTGTCTGTCTGGAAAGAACACGTGGGTCAGCCACTCATAGTCATCCGTACGCCCACTACTCAGGCGACATCTTCGCTACTTGGGCCGTGGGTGGCACTGTGGCTGTGGCGCCGCGGATGTTGTTCTTTGCGAACTTGGGCTGGACCATTGAACGGTTGACCGTGAGCCATGTGACCTGCACCCCTTCGCTGTGGCAATCCTTGGAGACGCCTGGTGTGCATAAAACTACTTGTTTCTACTAGTAAGGCACTTGCTCCTAGTAGCGATGCACTTGTTCCTATTAGCTTCTTGTTACTACTAGTAAGGCACTTGTTACTACTAGCGATGCACTTGTTCCTATTAGCTTCTTGTTACTACTAGTAAGGCACTTGTTACTACTAGCGATGCACCTGTTACTACTTTCTTTTTTTGTCACAGTGTTTTCCTTGACAAACAAGACATGGATGTCTTTGTGGGTGCCGAATGTGCGAATGTTCGTTAAACTGTTATGTTCGCGAATGTGTCATGCAGATGATCTCGTTTGTTTAGGACAGAGATGGACTGCTCAAGTCTCACTCTGTGCTTGGGTGGTGAGCGCTCACCTCAGCCCTTGCTGGACCTTTGGGCTCCCAAGCTGACTTTGCTGAACACCTACGGCACAACTGAGTGACCTTTACTCAGTTTACTGTTTACTTGTGCTTTGAATTTCGACTTCTTAGATTTGGACATGTCACAGGCCGACCAGGTAGGTTTTGATTTAGGCACCGTGTGGCAGACATTGCGGCGGATGGAACTGGGTGACAAGGCCACTTTGGTTGGTTCTCCGTATGCGGGCAACGAGATTGAGATCCTCGAGCCCTGCCCCCATTTGGAAGTTGGGGATCACAAAAGCCGAAGGCGATACGGCAAGACGGCCAGCCCCATTCAGTTTTCATCCAATTTCGGGTCTTTGGGGTATTGTTCCCTCAATTCTTCAGGGAGCCCGAACCATTGCAACTATAAGAAACAGGATGCTGCATGCTGCTTTTTTTGTTTTTTCTGCCAGCGATGCTACGGAGCTATGCACCACTAATACCTGCCCTATGATATGTGCCAATGTCATTTCATTTTTTCCATAGCTTCTTACTTCCTACGAGGTTCCGATCTTTCGGCCAACTCACAACATCTCATCACCTCACGACCTTCCTCCAACCCCTCAGATCAAAGCTGCAGACACCGCTGTGTCCACCGTGCGACATCTCCGTTCACTCGTAGCTTCTTAGATCCACAGAGACGGACGAAGTGAGAGAGAGAGAGAGATTGTGGGTGCAGGTTCCTGACAGTCTGAGCTATTTGGTTGGAGGCCATCGCTTTTAGAAAAGTCCTGACAGTCTCTTGATCCGTAAGGAAAAGGATGGCACTACAGAAGTCCCAGATGGTGAAGTTGGAGAGATCGTGCAGGGTGGCATGCAGGTTGGGATCGGACGCTTGGCCCTGTTTTCCCGATCGGTGTGTATATTTTGTATCACCTGGTGGTCCGGGTGGGGCAGTAGGGTGGTGGGCGAAAGGACTGATGGCACATGGTTGAGGCCGTAAATATGCAACCGCCTCCACAACGGGACATGGCACACCAGATGGTCGGGCATGGCACCCCGTCGGCCAAGGCTACTACAATCGTCCGGAGTTGACGGCGCAGAAGTTCGTCGAACGACCCGGGCGGAACGGCAAGTGGTACCGCACCGGAGATGGTGGGATCCTCCGTCGAGAGCCACGGTGTGAGCTCGAAGTAGTTGGACGCTTTGACAGTCAGGCGCGGCGCGAATGGGCAATAAAAAGGGAGTATAGTAACAAGAAGCTACTAGTAGCAATGATGCTACTAGGTGGAGGCCATCGCAAGTAGGTCGGAGGCCATGTAGCTCCTGGCATTATGAGGGAGTACAATAATTAAATGTCATCATTTATATAAGTAAGAAGTAATAACAGCGTTGAGCAAGAAAAGGGATGTAACAATTTCGAGCAAGTTTGCGACTGGGAGCAAGGATGCAGTCGAGCTCTGGTTCCCTGACTGTACGAAACAATTCTTAGGTGTTCCGAATTCTTGGAGGAGCATTTGTGCCACACCGGAGAGACGACGTCTATAGTCTGTATATTTCTGTGCATACCTTGTTGCAGGAGCATGGGGAGGTGGAGGAGGGGGAGGGAACTGTAATGTCAGGGTGTTTGGGGGTAGACTTTGCACAGAATGCTACAAACAAAGAGTATACAACACACGAAGTGTGAAAACACATTGTTGTCAGGTTCCAAAAGTCAAAGCACCGCCTTGTGCAGACGTTTGCTTCGTTTGAATGCCCCACCCACTCCTGTTGAAGCCATGATTGGGTTCCAAGACCGTTGCCTCGGTGATCCTCCGGTCCACACACCACTGGGCGTGGTGAACTACCTAATGGATCCTAATGGCTTTTGTTACTAGTAGCAAGAATGTTCCTAGTAGTACGGCCAGGAGCCCCTAGTAGCCCTTTGCTACTAGTAGCTTCTTGTTACTAGTATACTAGTAGCGATGTCTTCAACCGAATAGCGATGGCCTCCACGTAGTAGCTTCTAGCTACAACTAGACCGTTGTGCTTTAATCAGCTACATCTTGCCGCGCCGAAATGTGCAGGTGAAGATCCGTGGAATGCGAGTGGAGCTGGGCGAAATTGAGATTGGGGTCGTGAAAGCTGCAGCTGGACTGCTGAGCAACTGTGCAGTGAAGCTCCGCGACAGCTTTCTCGTGGCCTACTGCCAGGCAGCTTTCTCCAGCCAGCGTGGAATTAGAAATCACGGGCCGCCGGCCCTCGTGTTTGTGGGTTCACAAGGCTCATGAGTTCAAAGCTTGTGTTGCATGTGAAATGTCTTGAAACGTGCATCATCTACATGCTAATGTCATTGGCTGCCGTGTTCTTCAAATTGCATTTCATTCTCAAGTCATTATGTGATTTGCTCATGAGATTGGAGGTCTCCGCTGCTGCCTCAGTGATGTTGCACGAGCCCTACTGTGACTTGACGTCGTGCAAAAAGAAAGAGCAGATCGATCGGTATGTCTCTAGAATGTCATGAAAGCCCCTGCAACTTCAGCCAGCTTTGGCCAAGGCATCATGCCAGTGATGAGTGACTTCCTTCTACAGCGGTCAAGCCACGAACTGCCACGGCACATGTTGCCCAGCAAATTCATTCTGATGCAAAGGCTCCCTCTCACAGCGAACGGGCGCCTCAGCGTGGAATTGGACAGCTATGAAGGCTTTGTTGTAAAAAGCGGACATGTTCAGGTCGACTGTCAAAGCCGAGGAAAGTGGACAACAAAGCACTTCCAGAAGTGGTAGATGCGTCAACCTCCACATCCTCATCTCTGACAGCTTTGGAGCGGGTGGTGGCCGGAATTTGGGAGGACTGTCAAAGATTGTTTGGCATCAGCCATCGGAAGACCGATGAAGACAGCGTTTCATTGTTTACCTTATATTCTGCAAGACTTATATAGATGTCGCATTCAACTCAGCTTGGTCTTTGGAAGGGGCACAAATCGACTCTGCCATTGGAGACCCTTGGTCACCAGGAGGTCTTGGGCCGCAAGGGCATCGGTCCCAATGACCACTTTCTGGCGCTTGGTGGTCATTCCATGTCCGTCCTGCAGGCCATGACAGCGCAATGAGTGCTGGGCATTTCAGCCTCCAACCTAGTAGCGTCCTTGCTCCTAGTAGCGAGGCCAGGAGCCCTTAGTAGCTTCTTGTTCCTAGTAGCATCTGGCACTACGGCACTACGCATCAATATGTTTCATATGCATCGCACTGCACATTCATGTCTCCATGTCGCAAGGTTTGGCAAGGTTTGACACATCAATCTTGTAATGCCGCCATACACCAACACCAATTTGCCGGTCGCAAAAGCTCAGCGGTAGAAGCATGCCAATGATGCCATGTCATCCTGCAGTAAAGCAGACGACTTCTACGAGCTGAAGGGAAAGTGCCACAGCACAAGGGCTAGCCGCTGCTAGCTGCTGCTAGCCGCTAGCAGTGTTCACTGCAGTGTTTCACTTCACCACCAGAAGACTCGACGAGCAGCAGCCACTACTCGCGTTTAATTCCAAGACCCCCAAGACCCCAGGAGAGAGGAGGTTTCTTTCCAGCGCGGAGTTTGGGATGTCAGTGATGTGTCCATGATGAGCATACGAAGTGCCAATGCCGCTGCTTTTGCATGCATTTCCCCGTTTGCTTGCCTTTGGCGCGTGACCATCATGAAGAGGAGTCGAACCTCATGGATGGAGGTTATCAGCTAGGTTCCTTCACCGCGTTTGCTTCGAAGGTTGACGAAGCCGAAGCTGCCAAGGCTGCTGTCCAACCCCCTCCGGCTGTCGGGTTGGGGAGGCGTCACCGGTACACATTGGCCGATTCTCGATTCACTTAGTGAGATCCACGTCACCCTGGTGCTTTTGCACCATTGGCTCTCCTTCAATTCCAGTTTCGCTACTAGTGGCACCCCAAGGGCTAGAGCGGCCAGAGTCCATTTCAATACTTGTAGCTTATGTCTAATATCGGATATTGGACATATAGTAATATATATATATATATATCACACATATCTCTACTTGATCGGTGCTCACTATGCCCTACTTTAGAATGTTCTGCACTTGAGGTCTCACGGCGGCTGCTGAAACTTGCCGCAGCAGCGGGTCAGGATGTTGGGAGCCTCGGTTTGTTTCTTTCGTTTCACTCTTAGTTTTGAGAGGTCAGTTTACGTGCTGACTCTTTTGTTTTCTTGCTTCATGTCACTTTCCCCACCTGTCAGGGTCTCTAGATTTCATGTCGCAGATGCCCCAACACATGGGAGAAGGCATGTTGGAGCATATGAAAGACTTGATAGAACATATGTCAGAACTAGAACAATGTCAGAACATATCACGGAACAAAGGTCAGAGCATATGCCAATATATGCCAGGACGCAATCCCTGAACGTGGATGCCAGAATACGTATCAGAATACATGCCGGAGCAAACGCTGGAAGAAACCTTCCTGTCCTTGCTTCCAAATCGCCCCTCAGGGTGGGGATCTCGAAGTCAAGTAACTTGGTAAGTCATTTGTGTGTTTTTCTCCAGAATTCTTCTGAAGCTACTTGTAATCAGACCTAAGCTTGTTCCAAGCATTCAAGGAGGTGGTAGTGGTAGGCCTTGAGTGTTAAAGTAGCAAGGCACCCGTTTTCCAGGTGAGTCCTGCCAGTGCTTTGGGCATTCTGCTGTCGCCTGAGAAGCTGATCCATTCTCCCCGGCTGCGGATCTACTGCCAGATGCTGGCACGGGGAGGTGTACGATTTGCAGCGGTCGGAGGTTCCGAAGAGGAACAGATTGGTGAAGTTCCTCGGCACAATCGACCTGCACAACAAAAATCCGAACCACTTGTAAACACTCTCATTCTTGAAAAGTCCTATTATACGTGCTTCACATTCGGATGGGGGTGAGCAAAACACCATTGGCGCCAAGGAGGATGTGGCCGAGCTTCGCATTAACTATGTGAAGCACAAAGTGAAGAGCAGCGATGCAGAGTTGGACCATGGTGCTTGGGAGCAGGCCCAGCCATGTGAATCGGCGTGAAAAGATCCTGAACGCATCTCGTGTTGTCAGGTGCCACTGGCTGGCCCCGAGCTCTTGCTCTGCCACGCGGAATGCTCATTTTGGGGAAGTTGGGCGGGAAGTTGGGAAGGCGTTCGCTACGCTTTTCAGCTCATTCTCGCCAAACATCGTTGAGTTTTTGGTCACTCGAAGATTCTCGAAGCCTAGAAGCGTAACTAGATTGCCAGGTGTTAAGAGGATCGCGTGGTGTGCATGAGACAAAATGATTGTTTCACTGGTCATCCTTGTTTTTGCTCCTGCCGTTGGCAGATTTGTTCTCAGGCCGCGCCTCGGAGGCTGGACTGCTTCCCTTAGTGCAGCTGCTCCTTTCAGAAGGTGCTCAAGTGGAAGGAGGCGCCAAGTCTCGTCGAAAAAGAGTCGACTGAGAAAAACTTGAACCATGACGAATCGAACAATGGAATCGAAGATATTCAAAAAGAACGATTGTCACATGTTTATGCATTTTTATACATTTTTGAAGACCTTTCTTGGTTGAGTCATGTTCAGTCGTACTACTTGTAGGCCTGCTTGAAGGGCAGTATGCCAGACATGGGTCGACACCCCTGATCTTGGTTGCTTGGTCTCAGCATCGCGGTCACATGTGGCATCAAACGAAAGGAGCAGGAAATGGACAGATACGGCTTTCAAAAGCAGTGGTGGAACACGACCACAATTCAGGGAAAGACTGCCTACAGGCCTACAGAATGAGAGAAAGCAAGATACCGAATCCAAATGCAAAAAGACTATCTCGGACTCTGGTGACTCTTGAGAAAAAGACACTCTTAGGGCACACTTGCACCGCAAGTTGTGCTTTGTAGGGCACTTTTGTGCGATACTGGTGCTTAACAGCAAGAACAGCAAGACGTAGTTTCTGAGGGCACTCTTGTACGACAGTCTTTAGCCCTCCAACCTGATAGCACTGGCCTTCAACCTACTAGCGATGGCCTCCGCTTTCAAGGGATCGGGCGGATCGGTTAGAAACAATTTCTAATTTGATTTAATTCTAACTTGTTACTAGTAGTAAGGCACTTGTTCCTAGTAGCTTCTTGTTACTACTAGTAAGGCGCTTGTTACTAGTAGCGATGCACTTGTTACGTTTGCTTTTCCGAGGCTGTCATGGGAAACCATTTGTGCTGTGCTGAAGAGCTCTTATCGTATTCTGCGCAGCCGGAGCGGCGAGATGTCCGAAACTCAACGTGGAATGTTCAATGTGCTGCTGTGATTTGCTGATTTGTTTGTGTGTGTTTTGTGATTTTGTGAGGGTGTAATGAGCTGAGGCAAAGTAAGGGCTTCATAGGGTGCCAAGAACCTGTCCCTTCTAATGATTTTAATGTCTTTGTGATGCAGTCCATTAGCCAACAAACCACGCTGCAACGGCAGACCTCGTATGTTGTAGTTTGTGCGACACTGTTGCCACCGGCGCGGTCTTGATGGCCGTGATGGCAGGGATCTTCTGTGGGTCATGTGTTGGGTTGTGCTGATCTCGGCAAGAGAGGTGCCTAAGTCTCTACTATACACCAACCTTGATTGAGCAAAACGCTCCCAAATGTGTAGCTGCCAGGCAAGATGGACATGTTCCGAGATGGAACCGTAGACTTTGTGCAAGAACCTCTCACTTCACAAATAATGCGAACATCGGATTGTGCCAGCAATACGCAAGCTTCGCCAGACGAAGAATTATACGCATATTTATATGTTCAACAAAACATATAAAAGCGATGGCCTCCAACCTACGTATGATGGCCTCCATCCTACGTATGATTGTGCCAATCGCCTAGTTCACTGACGAAGGTGATGAACTGAAAGCCTCATGGCCAATCACTTCACCAGACATAAGAACATATACGGTAATGTAGTAAGAGGGTTCTTGTTACTAGTGACAGTAGTAAAAATGCCCCTAGTAGTAAGGCCAGGAGCCCCGTTCGTAGCGTTCTTGCTCCGTTCGTAGCGATGCACTTTGCTCCTAGTAGCTTCTTGGTAATAAGAACAGGCGTGAAAAGAATGCACCAATTCGGGATCACCCTAGTCAAACCTAGATTGGGGGGCGGAGGGTGTCCCTACCTTTGTGCGCTTGATGCATCTTTATGCCTAGTAGCTTCGTGTTACTAGTAGCAATGCCCTTGTTACTACGTAGCGATGCAAATGCTCCTAGTAGCGATGCCCTTTGTTACATTTTGTTAGTAATTCATGTTCCCAGTTTATCGCTATTTTCCTTTGCAACGCCGGACCATTGTGAGGCTCATGGAACGCCGGTGCTTCACAAGGCCGCCGAGCGTTGCGGAGAACGAATGGTGGCATTGCTTCTCAAGGCACGTTTTGAATTTGTCTCCGCCTGAGTTCAGACAGACCCTCGATTTGGTCCCCCTCCCTCCGCGCATTGTGCGCCAGATGCAAGTAGCTGGCATCCGCAAGAAATATAGCTTGTATCCAGTCTGAATGTGCACCTGCACAGGTCAGAGTTCATACGGTGGATACTGAGTTTGCACATGAAAGCCACCCGATGTTGAAGAAGGATGAAATGGTGGAAGTATGTCCTTAAGACTAAGAAAGCGTTACCATGAAAAAGTTGTCATACAGTCATACATCCTGTTGCAGCGGGCGGAATACTGAATATACGGAACATAGTAGATATAGAGGCCCTCCCAAGTTACAATCATTTCAGCAAGCGCCAACAAAACCTTCGATGACCTTTTTAGCAAAGAAAAGTCGTTAATTTTCGGAATATTGCTAAAGTCCAGCAAAAGATTTCCCTCAAGGTTGACTCAAAAACGAAAACCATGCTGCCGCAGTTTTTGGATGTGTTCAGCTTTGTTGAAAGTGTGGCCGGGCCAGCAAAGGCGATAACCTTATTGAATAATGTTTTCTTCATTGTGCAACGTTTTGGCGGACGCTCATAGTGTGGCGCGTAAGAGAGCATCGGACCATCAGCAATATTTTCCTTCCAACATGGTAGATGCATCCCGCAGGCTCGTGCAGATGTTGAAGCAATGGCCACCTGGCGGATACTTCATTGTGCGGGCGTTGTTCTTTTTTTTGGGTGCTATTTTTGGAGGCCTTCGCTAGTAATGAGGTTGGAGGCCACAGGGGTCACGGGGGGATGTTGCCAAGGACACGGCCAGCCGTAGCACGGCTTTGCATGCTGCAGTGAAAGCAGGAAATGTTGCTACAACCACGGCATTGCTGCAGAGTGCCATGTCAAAAACTACGATGCTTTCATTGCTTTGCTGCATGTTGTGTACCTGTAGTGTTGAAAGGGCAGTTCTATTCAACAAAACTGCTTCGTACAAAGCCACTTCTTCCAGTGGCTGCCTCTAATCCCTTCCCTCCCGTCAGTTTTTGCTTTAGTGCTCGATCGCTCTCTGTTTTTCCTTCTGCGACATAGCTTCTTTCCCTAAGGCCTTAGGTCCTCCTAAGGCCCTCAAGTCTGCCCTCCCAAAATCAAGCTGCCACATGGCATGTGCAGATTCAACTACATCATTCATCATCACCTTGATTCGATGCCCTCGGAACCTACCGCTACCACCTCGTTCCCAGAAAGCACACACACATACCAGGAATGAGCCAACTTGCTCAAGCACATCGCGATCCAACACATGCTCCCCAGCTCTCCAGTCTGGCCTAAGGTTGCTGCTTTCCTCCCAATTTCGACATCCTGACGACCAGCAAAGGTGTAGCTACTGTATAGAGTGAAGTAGAGTGACCTCACTTGGCCTCGGAGATGTGAAGCAGGTCGCACGCGGAGCTGTTCAAGCCTCGCAGCACGTGGAGCATGTCGGTGCGCGCAGCACGTGTGTCCATTTAGGCAGTGAGCTGGATTGATGCCAGATTGCCCATTCTTGAAGGAGCCATGAGGGGCTTGACCAGGGCGAACATTCCAGCCTTTGTTGCATACCAGATGTTTCACATATCAAGCCTGATGACACATGGCATGGTGAAGACGTGAAAGCTCCAGAACTTGCCACGGGAGCTGAAAGGCTTCCCAACGGCCAGGAGCCCCTAGTAGCATCCTTGCTGCTAGCTAGCAGAGAGGCAAGACATTGCAAGGCCATTTTGCCATTTGCCATGGTGCAAGGAAGAGAGCCTAGGGATGGTGGATGCAGATCCATGCAGATGCTTGCTGTAGATGAGTATGCCATACGCTTGCCGTATTTGTGCAGAAGTGTGTTCTGTGGTAGCTCCCTCCGCTTCCAGAGTAGGGTGGGGTATTGCGCACTGTCATGTTGCTAAGTTTTGCCGCTGCTACTTTTTGTACAGCTCTCAGTGTTTTTGACCTGTCGCTTTGTAGCATGCCTTTGTACTGTATGGCCGCACTCGAATTGAACTGATGCAGCATTGTAGCTTTGTCGTGCTTTGTTTGGCATGTTTACTGCCATTGAGAGTTGCGATGCATTTGCAGCCGTGGTTTTGGTTCTTTCTTGCCCCTGCAGGCATTCGTCATTCGGCCTATGTAAGTTGTGCTGAGGCAATGTCAGCTGGGTAGTCGCACAGCTCAAGTGTTGTTCCTGTCCATAGTAAGTTCTGCTGGGCTTCAGTCGTCATTTACCTGCTTTTATGTTCCTGGATGCTATCCTGCAATTCGTGGAGGGTTTTCTTTGCTTTCTCCTTCTTCTTCGTGATCTGCTTCAATTTCTGCCCTTTCTTCCTGATGTCTTTGATCATCGCATGGGTCATCTAAGTCATCCAACTTCTCAACCTTACAAAGCTTTTTCACTGCGGCATCGCACAGGTGATGCAATCACGCTTGATGAGATGCTTGTTTTTCACAAGCAGACCCAATGCAACACGGGGTGCAACAACAGTTCCGCACTGGTCAGGTGTTCTTTAGGGAAGAATTCTTAGACTTTAGCAGCGGCTTGGCTGTCATCACATAAAGAAACACATCAAGAAAAAGAAAGGAAACAACAAAGCAAATAGACAAACCAATAGCGATGGACTCCAAACTTAACAGTGACATGTTTTTCTTTCTCTCTCTCTCTCTCTCTCTTGCTTGTTCTTTCTCCTCGGCTTCACCCGCTCCGTGTGGCTTTTCTAGCCGGGCTACGTCGCTGGCGGTGAGGCTCAGCTCGGATGGATTGGTTGGATCGATGGAACCGCACAGCGTTGCACTGGGCCATTTTCCACAACCATCTGGAAGGGTGCAAGGCAGGGCCATTTGGGGCAAAGATGAGCTTGCTTGACTTAAGAGCGATGGCCTCCAACCGACCTATATAATTACTGCATGTAGCTTGTTGCTGGACTTGCTTCCTTCAAACGATTGCTTGTGAGAGCTTGTTGCTTGGGAATTGCTCGCAGGTGCTGTTGCAAAGCGGAGCGAAGGTCATTGGAACTCTTGGTGAGCAAGGTGGTCGAATCCTCATGTCAGACATCCCGTGCGGGAACTTGCCACGCCGAGTGTAGCTCAGACTTGGACCGCGCCGAGGGTGACACAAAAGAAGGGGGAGCTTTTTAAGCAGTTATATAGATTCAGATCTGGTCTGGTGACACTTATCACACCATGTGACATTCAGAGCATATAATTTAATACGCCAATAGCGATGGCCCGATGGCCTCCAACTTAGCGACGGGTACTACATTTATGTTCTCTTTTCCGAGAGTTTCCGGTGCTGGTGGAGTGGACTCACCTTTGTGGAGTGTGGGCGGTGCGGGTTCGCAGTCATGTGCCTTGATTTCCATCTCAGCAGGCGCAGTGCCTTGCGAATTCGTCTCAGCTGGTGAAAACAATTCCAAAATGGAACTTTCCAATGAATGAAGGAATGATAAGGACCGAAATGATCAGGACATATGCACTAATGTTGTTATTTGTGGAGGTTTTTTGAACGTATTCGACACTTGATTTGGTTTGCAGGTGCGCATTCTGCAGAATCCCCACCTCCCCCTCTTGCACCCCATTCCTCTCGGGTCGCCACGTGGTCGATGAGACTGAGACGCCAACTTCCGTCCTGGGTCGCGCCACGCACGGGTCACGCATCACGTCGCTGCGGCGGTCCTTCAAGGTCCAAGAGGACGAAAGACTTCGTGACTCCCATGGACCTTGCGAAGGAATTGGCTTTTTTTCGGAGACACGATGTGGCTGGCGCTTTCATAAAGGCAATGCACTCTTAGTAGATTCTTAGTAGGTTGGAGGATGTTGGAGGCCAGCGCTATGAAGCCGCTTCTTAGCCATCGCTATTGCCAGTCCTTGGTTCACACTTCGGTGAAGGAACGTTTTCCTGATGGCCAAGTCGTTCAAGTACTTCAAGCCCACAAATCCTGAACAACCAGCCTGGACATTTGGCAGGATTCCGACCAAAAAGGTGCATTTGGCAGGATTCACGCCTTTTTCTTTTCCAGAATGCTCTCCAGTGGCGTCAGGAGTTGTAGCGCTAGGGTGGAATAGTCTTGGAGCTTGGGACCTGTGTCATTTTTGTTACTAGTAGTATGGCCGGGAGCGCCCCTAGTAGCGTGCCAAACCGGCAATGATGCTGACCATGGAAACGAATCATTTCGGGTGCGCACGAGTTTGCAAATCATCTCTCGCGCAGCACAATTGTCGGCAATGCAAATTTGGCAAAAGAACCCGCAGCCTCCGCATAATAGAAGACCCAGAATTAGGAGGCAAAGATAGGCAAAGTACAGATTTAGATGATATAATTGGATACCCGCTGAGGCCTGCCCAGTGGAGAGTAATTCCTTCACATTTGCCATGACAAACGTGGCAGAGACAAACATCGTCACCTTTCTGATCCATGTTTTGAGCAGTAATGACTGCCCTCTCAGGATATGCTGCATGCCCGTCCTCATCCACAGTGAGTTTGCAAGAAGCACCCCCGCAGCTTGGAGTTGGACCTGAAGCTCCCCTCCCGATGAGCTCGATGCACAACTCAGAGAGGGAACGGAGGAGGGAACTACTACTACACGCACCGCGTGAAAAGAAGACGTTGAGCTGCTTGGGAACATTGGGAACAACTTGACATGTGCACCCTCAGTGTGAACGAAAAGCATACGAAAGCACATGCGTCACGTGCCTGCTGCCTTCACGTTGTTTCTTTTAAATGGTGCAGCCATTTGCCAAACATAGCCATGGGCCGCCTCAAAGGATTTCAGCCAGACGGATGAGGTGGGTGCACAAGGGTTCACCTTAGATGGCTCAGATCAATAGCAAACGGTACCTAAGAGCAATGGCCTCCACCCTAGTAGTGATGGCTCCAACCTGATAGCGTCCTTGCTCCTAGTAGCGATGCCCTTTGTTCCTAGTAGCTTCTTGCTCCTAGTAGTAAGGCCAGGAGCCCCCTAGTGGCATCCTTGCTCCTACTAGCCATGGCCTCCAACCTAATAGCGTCCTTGCATGGCTCAGATCTGTCCCTGGAAGGTACCGGTGTCCATTCCAATGTCCAAGCCTCCGTCGAAGTCTCCGTCAAAAGCTCCATCGAAGACTCCTTCAAAGCAGCCTGCTAAGAACTCTTCCAAGGACACTGTTGTTGTCGGTTGTGTTGATTTCATGGCCATGCTAAAGTATAATCAGTAAGGATGCACAGGGACATGCAATATGTAAGAACTCAAGCCAGAACCGAGCAAAGGCGGCACCTGTGTCTTAGAGGGACTTGGTCTTGACAGTTCTAGATTTCAGGCGACAGCTATACAAAGCCTTGGGTGCTTGCAACCCCATGGGCAAAGGAGTTGAAGTTACACTTGCGGGCTTGTTTGTACAAAGGGTTGGGGATGAGACCGTGGCAAGTCGCATTTTGGCGGATCATGGCGGCGTATTTCAAGGGCGGCACTCAAGAGAGCGACTTGCCCCGGACGAAATCAAAGGTTTAAGAGTGTTGGCTTAATTTACACATGTCTGAACATGTGACAGCGCAAGGGTTTCTAGTTTGCTTTGTCGATGTTTCTTCGGCCAGGATACTTCAGGGAAGCGGCGGGCGCCTTGAAGTTGCGCCTTGTCCCGACAAATTGTCATCGCTGCCGCCCCGTGGCCTAGGAGTTCGCCAACGCCAGAAGAGCAGGACATGGTGGTCTTGATTTAGAACGTGATTTGGGCAAACCATTGCAGGATGTCATTTAGACTTGATATGACTTGATTGATTGGTCATTTAGACTTGATATCTGACCACTTTTGATGTGCCAAGTTGTCATGGGGCTCTGGGGGGGTTCATGAGCCCTCAGTGGCGTGGCCTCCTACAAGCCGCTACAAGCTAGGGGTTCAAACACCATCCCGTCTAATGCGCACCTTCACCAGACGTCGTAGCTGTCATCACGAGAAACTGAATCCAACACCTCCCAAGCACCGTGCCTGCCAAGAAAGATGTGTTTTCGACATTGACGCATCGCTACGTTCGTAGCTTCTTGCTCCTAGTAGCGATGGCCTCCAACCTAATAGCGATGGCCTCCACCTAGTAACTAGTAGCTTCTTGTTACTGGTGGCAATGCGGGGAATAGTTGAGGCCTGAAGAAAACACGTTTTTGGGACTTGCCACATGCTGTGGGTATTCGTGGCGAACCAGCGTCCCTGACGCACTCGTAGATTTGACACTCTCTTCTAGCTAGCAAAAACAAGGTCCGTTCCAAACAGGTTGGTTCGCCAACACAAATTTGGCAGCACTCTTATTGAAACATATTCCATCAGTCGTCGACTTGTGTTGTTTGCTGGTTTCTTTGTGCTCATTTGATTGCTAAATTTTGCAGGTTTCATTACTCTAGACTACAAATTTGCGCTCAGCATTTATGCTGTTTTCTGAATCTGCCAGTTCCGGCGTGTGATTTCATCAGGGATCCACTTAGTCTCATGCTCTTGCCCGTGGTCAATCACACCAACTTGATGATAACAGCAACACAACTGCAGAGACATGGCACTCTATTTTTTAGCTTTTTGGTATCACAGATTGTCCCGTTGTGGCAGGAAGCCATTCGTCGCGATCAGGCCATCACATCGCAGCCAGCGGGGCATTCGTCAGAATCAGAATCACCCACTTGGTAGGAGCGGATACGTCAAGAAGAGGCGAGTGAGAATCCAGAGAGATGGTGTTTTTTCGTTCATTTGGAATGTTCGGTTCAGGGTTGGGACCAGGAAGACCAGTTTTTGAATCGCTTGAGGTCTTGAACCGCATGTCAACTTCTGGATGCATTTGCGGTGGCACAGGAGACATGCAGTAGGCAGAAATGTGAAAGCCACGAGAACATCAAAATAAGAGTGTTTCAGGTATCAGGTACCTGAGCCCCACAAACATCTGCCAAAGATGCTCAATGTTTTGTGTGCAGTACCATTGGACAATGAACTTTTGGTTCAGTGTGCATAGAGTTTAACTGTCACCAGCACACTCATTGATATGGGTAATTACCAGCGTTTCAGGAGCACCAGGCCCCCATGGTCTTACTCTGGCATTGGAGGTGACGAGTGGAGACAGATGGGCGTGACAGACGAGCGTTGAGAGTTAGCTCAGCCAGAGTTGAAAACTAGTAGCGGTGGCCTCCACCCTAGCGTCCTTGCTCCTCGTAGTAATGGCCTCCAACCTCATAGCGATGGCCTCCACCCAAAAAGCGTCCTTGCTGCTAGAAAGCTTCTTGTGTTTGTGATCGGGGCAGGTTTGTTGCTGTTTTGGGCACCATATTCTGCGCACCGCGTATCGTAGTGTAGAATGTGTTTTTGGTCCTGTAGGGTCACTGCGTGGTGCACGTTCCACACTGCCACAGTTCTGTTTGAATGGTAGGAGTGCTGCTGTTTTGCGGTGTTGCAGTGGATTTGATTGCATCAAACATGGAGGGCGGTCGGTAAAAATTAAGCTTGTTTGTCGCTGGGTAAGCCACTACACCTGCAGTTGGAAGTCCGAACGAGCAAGAGGTCCTGGAGAGAGCCACTGGATGATGCAGTTCTTACAGTATTGTCACATCAGTGATGGACAACATCTCATAACATCATAGATTTTGGTAATTCTCGTGTGCTCATAATGCTCATGACATAGGCTGCATAAAGGGCACATACATACCGTATAGAGCACTTATTGCTATGTAGGGAAATCACTTGCAAACCCTATCTTACATAGGCATTAGCGAGAAGAAGAAGAAGAAGAAGAAGCAGAAGAATCTCCAATTGGGCGGCGTTGTGCGTCCAACAGTTGCAGCTCTTGCTCGGCAGGCGGAGGTTTGCCGACGGTCCGTGCGGAGGAGCAAGGAGCCGGGTGAGTGCGGAGCTCATGGCGCCGTGTTGTTTGTAGTGCGGGCCAGCGATGGATGGCCCCCAACCTAAAGCGATGGCTTCCAACCTCATAGCAATGGCCTCCAGAATTGCGAATGCACATGAATGTGCAAAGTGTATTTTTTGGATCCTTTCTGCTTGAAGGCCTTCCGGAATGTGGATGCGAGGGCCTGCCTTGGTCACGGGCTCTCATCGACGGGTGTTGCCCAACTAGCTAGACTTGATTCGGTGCCAAGGCACAACCACGATGGCATTGCTGTGTGCCCCTGGCATGATTTCCGAATTGGCTTGTTTCAGCGTTGTCTACCAGTGAGCTGTGCATAGCTGTGCTTAGTGAAGCTCTTCCAGTATGGAACATGTGAAGAAGATTGTGAAGGCTGCACCTTTGGGAGATGGGCGGCTGCTGGTAGTTGGGGTCCTCATTTTGGACGATTCAGGCACTTTTCAATGTGTAAAGATTGGAACATATGCATTGTGATCGCAGAGGGGAGTGAGTTCCTTGTGGTTGCGCAGGACCAGCTCCGACCAAAAGAGAAACAATTTAATCAAGATGGACTTAAGCATATTATAATCATAGATTAAATATACTGTATATTTATGGGATATGTTGCTATATGCTGCTCGTGGATGAACTCGGACTGTTCCCAGGTTGGAGGTTTCGACGAGTTTGGCTTGCCACTTGACACCACGGAGTCGCCCCGGCTCGACTTCGTTCCACCACCAAGATCGGGGCTCCAGCCGCCGTTCGGGGCTGGAGGTTTCGTGTCGTTCCAGGGTGGTGGACTTTGTGTCTGGAGAAGTCGAGGTTGGACCAAAGCTGCCGGAGCCTCAAGTTCTTAAGGGGCCACGAGTATAGTAGGAGCAAGGACGCTACGAATGGGGCTCCTGCCCTTACTACTAGTAGCAAGAAGCAAGGTGAGGCGTCATGCTGTGATTCGTTTTGTAGTGAAACGTATCAGGTATTCGAACGTGGTGATTTTGTGATACGGTAATTTGTGACCCGGTGACGTGTGGAGTAGTGAAGTGTGCGGTTGTGGTGCTTTGTTTTTTGCAATGGTGTTATGTGGTGCCTGGTGCTTTGTGTTGTGGCACAGTTCAAGTGCAGATATAATGTATATCCCCAGTCGTTCTTTAAACAGGCGCCCTATCAATTAAACACATTTGTCCAATGCTGTGGCCTGGGTTCTGGGCTTTTTAGGGAGCCTTTAAGAAGTCAATGAATCCTTGTTCAATTGCGACCTTTCAAGATCAGTAACAAGTGCCACGCTAGTAGTAACAAGTGCCACGCTAGTAGTAACAGGTGCCTTACTAGTAGTAACAAGAAGC